ACAGAACCTTATCAATTCAGTACCGAATAGCTCACCAGGATGAGCATTAAAATCACCGAGGATGATCACTGATTGCACATTTTGACTTTCCACTATTGCACTTATTTCACTAAGACAGTCCGTAAACTCAGTAATGTTATCGCTTGAGTTCGTTGGCATATACACCGAGAAAATAAGTATGGAGCGATCCTGTGTCATTATCTTGACCGCTAGAAGGCGCACGTTATCACAGTTAACTACTGTGACAGATGGAAACATACTCTTCCTCCACAATAATGCTAGGCCGCCAAAAGGTCTTCCCCGAAGTACCCCCGCCGAAGTATCGACTGCCGAATTGCCCGTAAATGCAAAATCATCGCTGATTTGCCCTAGAAAGGCGATGTCATGCGGCAAAAGCCAGGTTTCTTGCAATGCGATAACGTCCGCCGCTACACACAGACGCCTCACACAGTCAATAGATCTTTTCACACATTTACAATTAAAGCTTACTAAAGTTGTACTACCCATATTACTTGTTGGCATTATTCACTTTCTTTTTAGAAAAGTCTATAAATCTGCGATAGGATATACCTTCAGGCCAAAAATCATCTCTCATGAAAATGTCATATTTGACTTTAGGAATCGAGATCTTATATGCATCATAACTCTTAGGTACCTTCATTATCATTTTCTCAATATTCACAGAGATGTCTGCCTTTTCTTTAACATAGTATGCGATGTCATCCTGTGTCACTTGTTTATCCACATGATAGACATACAAGACTACTTGTTCATTGGTTGCCTTAAATTTACTCTTAGATTCTGTTACAGCTTTTCCTATATTTCCGACAAATCGGTTTTTAATTTTCTTCTTCTGTTTCTGTACCAAGTTCCACTCTCCCTCATTAAATGAAATCCTTTAACGGAATTGTTAAATTTGTTTGATATAACGTGAACACTAGATGGACATGTCTACGTTCGAACGTAAAAATTTGATACGGAGGTTTTTTATCGTGGCATTCTCAGTTTGTGGCTACAGGTTCACTCTCAGGCCAATGTGCCCCCCCAGGCACAAGGCATTTTTTTTAAGGGGGGAAAATCATCGAATGTCTGCCCCCGTCTGGGTGAGGCAGTCCCTCCTGCCAGTGTCAGACTCTTACTGACTAAAAAAAAAAGGCACAAGGCATATAGTATAATTTGCGAATATTTTTTTATATTTCAACATCATCGTCATCAGATCATCAGCAACAGCCTATAAGTGGCCACTGCTGATCAAATGCATCTTCTCAGACAGAGAAGGTTTGAGCATTAATGCCGGTTGGCGATTTTAAACTTATAATTAGACAATTAAGACTGGACGATTGGCGCGGTGGCTGGGTAACTGTAGCGCTTAACGTGTAGCGGGTTCGATTTGCGCACGTAGCAACTGTTTGCGTGATAACAAATAGTTGTTCCGGGTCTGGGAGTCATGTGCATGTGAACTTGTATGTTTGTAAACGCACCCACGGTACTGAAGAAAATCTTGAAATTATAAGCTTAGGTTTCTTCGCGATACTTTCCGTCACCGTTTGTCAGTGGTGTCTAAATAGTAGTCACATTGGTACTTGCTGTTCGTAGATTTCGGAACCCTGATGCACGAGAAGTCTTAAACCTCTGGGCCACTACGACGTTTTTTATAATATTTATTCAATAAAAATTACAGTACTACTACAGTAATAAGGGGGAGCATTCCGTACTACATAGTATTCCTTACTCCACGAAGTTCGTCGTGAATCCCAATAATATTGGGCCCTGTGCCCAAGTTGACACACATTGGGCCAATAGGGCTTTTAATAATGTATAAGAGTGCACATAATTTATTCCTACCTACATTTATTCTTTCGTACGTGCAGAGAAAAGTTTGGACCCATTTTGGCGTCCAACGAGGAAATATATTTACCCGCCATTTATCTTGAAGAAGAAATTTTAAATATTGAGTACTATGTACTTTATAAATATTAAGTTTCACCCATAATGTTTTTGATTGGTCATTAATTACTATTTGTAGATACCTACGGCCCATAACTATTGTTTTTAACTTTTGCCTATATAGACTTTTACAATAATTACATACAACACTGTCATCTCAATGAATCTTTATAAAGTTCACATAACTCCAATTTCATCCATCCAGAGAGCGCATAAAATTCTAATCCCATGCTCATAAATCCATAAAAGCTAAACACACGTACGTAGAACGTACATAGAGCTACAGGTATGCAAAACCGAATAGATTACGTTTCCATTGGACGGGAATATTTCTGGCGGCGGAACGCGCCGGCAATGCGTCAAACGGCAATAACGTATTTTTTTCAATTACTGTGCAATTTCCATGAATCATTTTGTGCCGTTGAGCATTCTGCCGAACCAGCCGCGATTCGCTGACCCAGATTGGGAATGTTTGCGAACGCCAATTTCATGTTCAGAAATGCATTTGCTGTCTTAATTAGATATTAATGGCGTTACTCTATTGCTTTCTTTGTTTCAACTGCCAGTACTTAGTACCACGGATATTTCGACAAAAATATTTCCATTGAAATAAGCCGTGCCTTTCTCATTGACGTTTCAGTTTCTTTTAAAAGATTTTAGCAATTTGCGATCGTGATTTGTCAAGTTATAAACAGGTCTCTATCAGACTGATTATTAAACTTAAACACAATAAATAAAGATCAAAATTACCACTAACATACAGAGCAAGGAAATAACCAAAAAAAATTCTCATCATATTGAAGAACTCAGGGAAACAATATCGAATAAAGCTGCTCATAAACCCAAAGTAAATTGAGGAGCCGTGATATGAACGTAACATTAATTAGGAAGGCTGCCGCGATAGCACGTAATGCATCAACGGTTATCAACAAAGCAACCGCGACCGAGCGATCATCTCGTGTGGAGCTGGAGACGGCCCAATATTCAACAGATACCGCCTCCTACGCCACACTTATTGAATTAATTTCTCATTTCACAACCACTTATCTCCTGTGCCAGGAAGTTATTGTAAACAATTACCCATAAATAAATTTCCACCTCGTAAGTAAGTTGAAGGTTCGAAACAAAAGGAAATCGAGTTTCCCACCAACACAAGTTGAGCGCGTGTAAATGTAATTTCGCCAACAAAGCCTTTTACCGAAAACAGATAAGTGAAAAAAGGTTGTCTTTTTAACACTTACTCGTACGTCAATAAGTTTCGAAAAATTGAACTGAATTGCTTTCTAGGAATAAGGCTTTAGCTCTTAAAAGGCTTTGTATTAATACATTTTCTGGAAAGTGTTTTTTGAAGACTGTACACTAATACCTCTTCACACTGTCATGAAACCATATCGTGTTTTATGAAGACAAAAATTTTATTTTTCAGATGAATTCTTTTCTTCACTTTTATCAGAACCTTTCAGTGAGACGTACTGACATAAAAAATCGTTTAAACTGTAAATATGACGCTATATACCTACCACCACCGATTTGATCATATTTTTGTTTATTTTCCGTAATATATAACTCTAAGTCGCTTACTCAGGAGCTACACAATATCTTGGCGCGGTAATCAGATATTTCGTTAGCCTTTCACTGCTGTTTTGTATCAAACAAATCATTTCTACGTAATAACATAAAAGAGCGCCATTTTTGTTTTTTCGCGAAAAGTAATGGCTATGGAAATATAATTTTCCTCGGTAAGTCCCATGAAACATTAGGTAAGGGGTTTCTATAATTATAAACCAGGTGCCTACATAATATCGACCTCACATAACTACTACGTATTTCAACATTCAGAATCTTAAATGCAAGCGCTTACAACAAAGGTAACAATGCCAATATTATAAATTATTATTACTATAAGAAGTTGAACGAAACAAATTCATCCAGAAACAGTGACAACTGTAACTGTAAGTCACATCTCGACAGAGTAACAGCGAAGCTTTTGTAATAAATTGTAAATAATTTACATTAAACACAATGTCCGAGGTAACGAACGAAGAAGCCAGGACATAGTCACCAACTGAATACGTATAACTAGGTACGACTCAGCACTCTGCTACAAACTTGTTTCATTAAATTTAAATTTACTGTCCGCTTATTAATTCAAAGAAACGTCCGTCCTCCTCGCGAATTTAGGTCTCGGGAAAAAACTTTCCACCATTGATACGTCTTATTGTTCAATTTTGGGTATCGCGGATGATTTTTAAATAGCCCGCTGATGTATTCTGAATACTTATTCTGTAAGCTTTCTTTTTATACCTATTGTCAGCATTGTTCTTTTGTTACACAATTTTTGTAAGGCTCAAAGAAAGCCCGCTAACTGTCAGCCGTATGTTATACTCCACTGGTATATATACCGGTAAGATGGAACTTCTAATATTAAATTAGGAAAATTAGGTAGATAAATCGTATCAAAAATCTTTAGAAATCATCTGCACCTCGTCCTTTCGTTGCAGATTTTCGCATCAGCACATTTTAATGTCCCTAGTTATAACATCGAGCTAACTCGGTTATTTAAAAGTCCCTCTCGGTTCCTCCAATTAATTTCGAGACTAAGTAAAATATATTTTTTACATCGAAAGGATCTAGATTGCCCAATTAAAAGTTTAAGCTTATTACTACCAACGCCCGCTTTTTGAATACGTTTAATTATTTTGCCTCTTGCTCTGGTCTATTTTCTGCGAGATCGTTTTTAGAGCGAATTCGAAATATTGTTTGATTTCATTATGATTTTAGGAGTGGTTTTGATAATTAAGTAATAAGTATAAACAGATTGTTGATGCTTTAACAAATAAAAACGGCATTAGAATGCAGAACTCCTTATCTACTTGTACCTAACATACTTAATTTGTAATTATTACGTCTAGTGACACCATATAGCCATTGGCCACACTTAAATCTTAATCAATATACCTTCTCTATCCCCGTCTAGACTATAAGATCTGTAAGAGTCCTATCCGCCATCTTTACATTAAAGCCACGAAATAATTTGCATCGTGTTTTCCAGCATGTGGTTAAACCGCAATATTCAACAGTTTATCAGCGTGGTGGGTCACAAGTGCATTTCCCGGCGTGTCCGTATCGGAGCTAATCGTGGGCCCCGTTTCCTACCGATGTCGTCCGGAAATTGGCTGGTCCGACTCATCCGCCGACGAGGACATATGAACCAACTAGCCCTGCTTCTTGCATATTTTGCAACGGGCGAATTAATCTACACTGGACTTTCCATCTCCGTTGACGTTGGTTTGTGTGTTTCGTAACGTTTGTAATACGTATGTTACCATATTGCAATTTCATTATGGCCCAAGAAATAAATGTCTGCTACTTAATATACTAATTACTAGCTTCTGCCCACGACTTTGTACGCGCAATACCGTTTTCTGCCATTCCCGTAGGATTTCCAGATTTTTTTTTGTATTAAGAAACAAATGAATCAGTGAAATTGGTCCAGCCATTCACAGTAACACACACAGAAATAGGGATTCATTTTTATATATGTATATAGACTAGCTACTTCCTCGCGGTTTTCACTAGCTCTTCTCGACGCCTATTGATCGTAGCGTGATGTGAAACAGTTTTCTTTTTGAAATATCGAGACCTCTATAGGGAGAATCCAACAATCTTAGATTCTCCCTATATTAAGGTGGGTTTAATTTGGTCCAGTTTAAGCCCACTAAGACGCAGGTCTGCGTGTTCACTGGAAAGAAAGCTGCGCTTGGTCATCTCTCCTCAGTTTCAGACACGACCGACACGACAGACACGACCGATACGACAAACACGACCGACACGAAAGACACGACAGATACGACCGATACGACAGACACGACGGATACGACAGACACGACTCATACGAAAGACACGATCGATACGACAGACACGACCGACACGACAGACACGACCGATACGACAAACACGACCGACACGAAAGACACGACAGATACGACCGATACGACAGACACGACGGATACGACAGACACGACTCATACGAAAGACACGATCGATACGACAGACACGACCGACACGACAGACACGGCCGATACGACAGATATGTAGATTCGGTTTTTGACACAACAGACCGACACGACCCATACAACCGACACGACAGATACGACCGATACGACAGATACGAATGACACGACAGATACGACCGACACGATAGATACGACTGACATGGCAGATACGGCCGACACAACCGACATGACAGACACGACAGACACGACCGACACGACAGACACGAATGACACGACAGACACGACCGATACGACTGACACGACAGTTACGACCGACACGACCGATACGACAGACACGACCGACACGACTGATACGACAGACACGACCGACACGACAAATACGACAAATACGACAAACACGACCGATACGACAGACACGACCGACACGACCGATACGACAGACACGACCGACACGACAAATACGACAAACACGACCCATACGACAGACACGACCGACACGACCGATACGACAGACACGACCGACACGACAAATACGACAAACACGACCGATACGACAGACACGACAGATACGACTGATATGACAGACACGACCGACACGACAGACACGACTCATACGACCGATACGACAGACACGTAGACTCGACCGACACGACAGACACGTAGACACGACAGATACGACCGACACTACAGACACGATGGACGCAACAGAAACGACCGATACGACAGATACGACAGACACGACCGACACGACTGACACGACAGACACGACATATACGAACAAACAAACAAACTCTTCACAGCAAACTATGTAACTAGAGAATTGTATTGTGAACCTGATTGAAAAAGAGTAACCTATAAAGTTTCTTGCTCGTTCTTCTCCATAGGAATCTACACATAGGAATGAGCAAATAGCTTCACTTTTAATTTTATTGTCGACCTTCAAAAGTGCCTTTCTGGTCTAATTGAAATAAATTATTTTGACTTTGACTTTGACTTCAGCTTTTTATATTAACTGTTGCCCGCGACTTGTCCGCGTAGAATAATGACTTCTGGCAGAATTTGAGTTTATGCATTAGTCTTTTCCAAGGCCTATGTTACTCACGGATGATGTAGCTTTCAAATGGTGAAAGTATTTTTAAAATCGGTTCAGTAGTTTTTGAGTCTATTCATTACAACCAAACAAATAAAGTATTCCTCTTTATTAATATTAGTGTAGATGATGAGACCTGTACCTATTATTGTATGAGGAAGTGATCAGTGTCTGTCCAGTTTTCTTAACATGAGCACACATACCCATAGCCATTGTTAGACGTATTGGAGAAATTGGTAGTTAATAAAACTTTACAAAGTGCACATAAACAACTTCAACGTAGCTTAATTATAAAACCATTGAAATGTTATCATTGAAAGTCTTTATATTTGCATTTATAGGAGTTACGTCAGTTCATAATAACAGTGAATTTAACGAGCTCACCACCGCTCGGCGGCGGCGGCGGGTACCGCCCCAAAACTGAATACTGTAGTCTGTAGAAACTTTATAATGTCACATAAGTAGTGGCAAGTTGTGACGTCGACATGCACTAAGCACACCCATTTCCTTGACAACGTGCAGCACTCACTTGCTTTCTTAATAGTTTTAAAAACACATGAAGTATGCAGCGTGTTTGTAATTCGGTGTTTGCATATCTGAAAGTACTTAGATTTCTTATAGAATGTATAGTAGTTTAAGTTTTTCACTCATGTAAAAAATTGGTGGTCATTGTAGCAGGTCTGTGTTCTGTAGCGTTCTGTAGTGGCCGTCTTGAGGCTAAACTTATTATAGAAAAGAATTTGAGTAAATACCTTAGCTAGTAAATATTAAAAGTAGCCGAAATGTAAATCTCTCCCACGCAAGCGTTTTGACGAAAACACCCACAATATTAACGACCAAGCTTTACTGCTTTTTAACGATACCAACACGAACTAATACGTCAACACAACTGCAACAGCTCCCGATTTTGTGATCGTCAAATCTTCTGTCGATTCGATACCCGTAATTAGTTTCGAATGCATAAACAAGTGAACGGGTTTAGTAGTCCAATTAGCGTCGATCGTGTACATACAATGATTTCATTAAACATGCAAATTTGCGTCCATAGTCACGTATGGCATCGTAATCGGGAGTCTGGTTGTGTTATTGGTTAATAAACAAAGGTTTATTTCCATTACAGGTCCCCATTCCTGACGTGGACGCCTTTTGTTTCACTTAGATCAACTGTTGGTGCATCGTTTGGCTTGTGAAAGCAACTTTGATACAAATAACATTTGAAGTACAGAATGTAATAGTTAAATAAATAGTTACTAAACGTTTGTACTACTACCTTTTTATTGTACTGTATGAAATGTATTTAAATAAAGACGGGGAAAAGGTTTAACATTTTATACGATACAGGCTACACGTTAGAAAATAAACAGAGCGCGAGGGATGGACCAAAGTTATCTGTAGCAAATGCGGTTATTGTCTTCTATAAATTATCCAGTCGGCCAGAACACAAGGCGTATGGTAACCAAACGTAAAATTTTCGATTATAGTCCCTTTAGCCGAAGAATATCTTGACAAATACCCTAATAAAAAGGCTCGCCGCGCACCCGGGACGTTTGGAAAACCATTTACAAGGTTTATCGTCGCCATGGAAATAATAACTGGAGCCGTTATCGTCCTAAATTGATCTAATTTAAAATTATTGTTATCGCAAACCTTTTATTTTTATTAGGTAGGATCATAATATTTTATCTGTGGCCACTCACAAAAATCTTGTATGTGTAATCTGTATGCGATACGTTTATGAATGTTTTTATTTTATTGTTCTGGTTATTCCAAACAGTGTGTTAGTACAACGCGTTTTGAAATAAAGTAAAAATTTTTGTAATTTTCCAGAATTTCACCTGCTCGCACTTTTTAAACTTAACATGATTTCATGAAAACTGTGAACCAAATGGCAAAGATGTAAAAATTTTATTTTCACATCCCTTTGCCTTAACCTTTTATCAGGAAATGGCAGCGGAATGCATAGTCACCGTCAGAGGTCAGGAACCGCACCCGTCACTCACCCCTCAGCCGCCACTGCCTTATGTGCACCTCAATGGCTCCTTTGAGTGACGCGAATCGAGTACTTACAGCGGACTCAATAATTGCCTTCTGAGACGAGAAAACATTGCTCCAGCGATAAAATATTATTTGTGTGTGACAGGCTTTGTACTAGAATGTGTACCAGCCATATCTCAAAGACACCCGTTGTAATTAAGTAGACAATGAGAGTTCATATTTGGCGGTGGGCGGGAATGGGGCGGCCATTGTGCTCAGCTCGTTATCTGCAGACCAGTCTTTTTGGCTTTGCACAACAAAGTGGCTGCCTGCCCCGGTTTACGTCTGAAACTGTGTATTTAATAAGAAAGCTTGACGATTAGACAATTGGCTACAATAAACGAAAACACGTGTTCTAACGATACTGTATAAAACAAACAGTTCAGCATTGTCCCACTGTAATAAGATACCAACGTCTAGGGATTACGACACTAGAATTAAACAAATAGGAATTTTAAAATAAAAAAGCTCTAAGAAATCAAGATAAGTTTGTTTCTGAGCGGCTAATTCTAAAGGAAATAAAAACTTTATTTCTTTCATAAAACAGATACAAAGGACGAGATTATCCGGATTTTAGGGCCGACATCGATTCAACGGCGCAGAAGGCAAACAATCGTCTTTTGTTGTCCGCACCTATTGAAGTTTGGGTAATTAATTATACTGGGTGCCCGTCATTTTGCAGATTCACTTCTCCTATAACGTTCTCCGCAAGATTGACTGATTAACTGCCTCACACCACACTCTGCCGACCTCGACCCTTCCGGCAGCTCCGTGTTGGGTGCGTGTAACGTAATGCCTGACATGCTTCGTATACCTAGGTACAACTATTCAAACAATGCGCGCAATGTTTCATTAAATAACTAAACCTAAACATAGCCAGTTCAACTCTATCAAAGTATTTAACAAAAAAACCTGAACCAACTTGTGGAAACCGGCTACGCAAAGGAAACAGAATATTGAAAAATACAAACGGAAAACGCGTGGTGAAACGTCCGGAGCAATACCTCACTGGCTGTGCAGATACAAAGTAATTGGTGAAGAGAAAAATTACACCAGAGAGAAAAGCGGTGTGTTTAAAAAATAATAGAAAAAAAGGAATAGCTTCTGTTATAGTAACGGGGAACAAAAGGCCGGTTTCATCTATTCCACTACAATGACGTGCCCGTCCAGTCGCCGCCGCACCGCGTCCGCCTCGTAAACGGCACGTGTACACCGCCGTTTTGATCAACCTTAACGATCACGCTTTTTCAGTGAACTCTTCAAATAGACTGTCCGGGAAAGCTTCAAAAATGTGAACAGATTAAAAAAATGTAATGCAGTTCAAGTTGCTGTGAATAATTTAAAATTACACTTAGTTGGGATATTCAACAAATAAAGGCAATTTCAACATGTCAAGTGTCTGCGAGATAAGATCTTTTTCTCGGAAGCTGGTCGCCGCCTGTGAGGTCGTTACCAAGTGTCTCGCTCGGTTCAACTTCGCTCTACTGAACTTTGATTATAACGTAAAATAAATTCGTTAAGTAAAAGTCTTGAATTCATTCTTGTGCAATGCAGTGTTCGAGGCCTTGAGATGTTTCGAGTTTACTGTTTGAAAAATAGCGTAAGAAATTCACTAAAGAATTCTAAAACTTTTGTAGAATAAGTGAATAGCTGCTATACTTACTTACTTACTTACTTACTCGGTTAAAAGACACATTTTATGTTTTTTTCTGTATGTAAGATAGAGTTTATGAGTTCAATAAATACGTAATTTATGCTAATTAATTACCTATCTCGGTAATTAATTCATGCGTACGCACGTCTTGTTATTTAACCCTTTGTGTACCGTCATTATAGAGACAATTAAAGAACAAATGTCACATGTCACTCACCGAGAGGAACAGACTAACATCACTACCTTTAAGTTACCACAAGATGAAGAACATAAGAATTTGGTCATATGACTTTTACCTACAGACCTACATGCTACCTAGGTGTTTTTACTATAAAAATGCTACTTCAGTTTTACATGCAATGCAATTTACATAGCTACATATGCTGCTTCACGAATTCGATGACCAGACCCAACAATTTAATGTCGACTCAGCTTTCTTGAACTTGAAAACGACAGCTGTTCTTGAAACGACCATTTGAAGTCTACTTCCTAACTAAAAATTGTCGCCTACGAAATGATTAGACTTAACAAACTTCAACAAAATAGCTAATTGAACATATTTGCCTGTTCCCGATTACAAATACTACGAAATCTAATCTCATAATGTTATCTGTCTTCTGAAGAGTATAACTCATAATATGTGATTCATAAGAAAATGATCGTTTAAATAATACTTTTTTATAGGAGTCGAAATTCATGGTTGTGTACGAAAAATAATATGTCTGAATATTAATATTGATTTTATTCACATATTCATCACATATATAATTCAAACACCCGGTGGTGTTTATTTTTTATTTTTATTTATTTTATTACAGAAAATGTGTGTGAATTAAAATCAATATAATTTGTGTCTTCA